AAGTACTTGAACTAGTCTGCTGCTCCTTTCTCTGGCAGCTTTCTCATTTTAAGGAGTAAGTCTTTCTAAGAGGACACGTGATTTTCTAATGTTCAAAACTGAGCATGAGAGCAATGTAGTCAGTTCTAACACGGAAGTTTTAGACTTTCTTTCACGCATTTCTTAAGGAGAGGTACCCAATGGATACAGCTGTTTGTTTTCTTCAGCCGTACATATGTTGTCAATAAGGCGCGATCCACACCACGAATGACAGACCATAAAATTTTATCATCAATAATTGTTGGCTTTCACCGCGATGTGAAACATAAGAATATTACAGTTTTAATCATTCTACGGCTACATTTTGATAGGAAGCAGCTCTATTTATTTGTTTTCCATGAACTGGTTTCATTCGAGTACCTTTTTAGAAATCGTTCTGGCTCTTAAACGTCGCGTTGATTCCAAATTTTGGTGACCCATCTAGGTTGACATATTTTGGTAATAAGGGTCAGTGCATGCAATCAGTTAACAAACAGAGAAAGCTGTAATTTACCATTGTACACCTTTTACCTTTTTAAAATAATAATTTTAGCCATGGTCTTTTCCGGTAAACTGCAGTTTTGGCAGCTGCTGAAAAGAAGCCTAATAAAAAAGTTTTTCTCAGCTTGAAGATTGCATTACAGGGTATCCATTGATATAAACACTTCAAAAGTTTCTTTTTATCCCATTGAAAGCCCTGTCGTGGTATTCCATTCAGCCTCTCTTTCTCCCTTGCCAACGACTACGTTTGACAAGAGACGAATGAGGTAACATTCCGTCAGTCTACATTTACGATGAAATAAGATAGTTCTTTTCTCAAATTTTCCACTTGTAGGGAATTACAATGGTAACAACCAGTACCTGTTTTTTTCTATAATTTCTGCTTCTTTTCCGGATGGCCATGCGCAAGTTTTCTTTATTTTTTTTTCCAGATACTTCTGTCAAACAAATCTAGCCAGTTTAGACTTTGTACGAGCTTCAACCCACAAAATGCGTGACAGTTCTCTTCTCCTTGGTCTGTGCATTGTTCTCATCCCCAAGAAGTGCGTGGCACCGAGCGCCGTGATTCCCGCCAAAACGATACCCAGCATTAACCAGCCTCCGATCTGTTAACCAATAAAAACTTAGATCAAACTTACAAACTGGGGTATCAGTAACATTCAAGCACTGTCCCAAGTATTTTGGACCCCGAGTTAATTCGACTGAGTTACGTGGAAAAACCAATATAACAATCACAAAAGAAAACGTTACCAAGGGCCAACACAACTTTGCATCTGGGTAACGGAGAAATTAGCCAATCACTGTACTTAGGGGTTCCAACCCAACGCCATAGAGGACAGCGTCGGTTTTGTATCACTTTTTTGCATCACTTTCGACAATCGACCAATCGCTTGAATGGTTTGTTCCTAACAAATCTTATTTAGGTGAAAACTTTTGCCCTCGGTGTACAATTTAATTTGAAGCTAACTAAGCTCTTTTAGTCGATAGTAGTTATGTTTTTACCTCATTTCCACTTGTCCAGTTTTGAAGATTTATCATTCATATAAGTGCAGTCGAATGAAACATTGACGCCTAATTCGCTTGCTTCAATTAAATACACGTACATGCTGAGTTTTTAAAGACATCTTAGGGTAATGTTGCTTTCACAATTAGAATTTAAAAGCATGAAGGAAAGTTTTTTCCATCATAATGGATTAAAATTTTTTTTATGTCCGCTGCGGTTTCCTTGTGAACGTTTGTTGAATGTTTTAGCTCTGTATTAGAATTGGTTCTCTCTTGTTCAGATTTGTCTACAAAAACCGCAGTTTTTCTTCAAGTTTTTTTTTACAACGACGAGTGCGAGGAACATGGGCCAAAAATTCAATAGGACCCGTGGTTTCATTTTCAAGTTTTTTGTTTTTACTCCCTAAGGGTTATTCTAAAGACGAAGATTTAGGAGCTCCAGTCAAAACAAGTTTGTGAATTTTAAACTGATTATATATAACAAAACACAAGAAGAGGAATAAACACTGTAGGGGAGGGCAAGCTGATTTGAATTGACGCCCACTCGAAAAGAAACCAAATCCAGGGTTGCCAAATGAACCTATTTTTTGTTGTTGTTTTAAAATAATGATCTTTGAATATTCAAAAAATGTTCATATCTGACTTCTTATTTCATTTAATTTGATTCAAAGGAAGAGCTGCCCATTCGAAAGACCAGATAATTTTGTTCAGTTAATAATTAACAATGTTTGAAAACAATGACTTTTTCTCGCCAACTTTGAAGAAAAATCTACATTTTTAGCATGATGAGAGGGTATGAATGAAATAGCAAAGGATTTTTTTATCTACTGATGAAACTCCCATTTGAAAATAATATCTTAAAATAGATATATTCATCTATGATTCACTCTACGAGTCGTTTAAAATTGAAAGAAAAAAGTAATTTACTTCTATGGCTCAGTCCTAATGCAATTTCAATATTCAATACACCCACACAAAACGAACAAACGTTCTTTCGTAGCTATGCTTAAATTTTCCCTTAAATTTGTGGATAGGTGAGGTTTATGAGCATAGGTAGTATCTTAACATTTTTCAACTCCTCTTCGATAGAGGTTTGTAAATGAACTTCGAAGGGAGTACCACAATTTGAAAAATTATGAATACACTAAATTTCATGCATTATATTTGATATTTTCATTGAATAACATTTCAAGCTGTGCGCTAATTTCTTGCTATACGAGGCATTTCAGGACTAAAAACCACACAATTTAATTTCGCATTTTGTCAGACCCACCTTAAGATAAAATGACGAATATCTATCGACAAATTTAGGACAGTCCTCGTTACGTTCGCGGGAACATCGACGTCTCTTGACCAAACTTGCATTTACAGAATTCCGATTTTCTATCACTGATGTCGGAAAAAAGGTCGTCGTAAAACCAGATATATGTGAATTGTTTGCTTGTTGGCTTTTTCGGATGGTGGAAACATATCTGGTCGTTTTTCTGGATAAAATCTCCGCAGTGTTTGTGGTTTTCGGAGAGGACGTTGACGAGGTCGTAAACGAAATCACGAATTGACTCGAGATAATTAAAAATAGCACTCCAACGTCATACTCTCGATATCCAACACGCATTAATCCCACTGGAAACATTTCAGCCTTTTTCTTTCTACTCCTTCTTCTGATTTTCACCAGCAATAGGAATATTATTAAGTCTAAGCGAGCATCACCAACTGAACAGAGCGACAGCTGGTAGCTCTTTTACCATAAGCCGATGCTTTGATTGAAGCTCACTCAAAATGCCCTCTCGAAGCGCAATTCCTTTTAATGTTGTTGAGAGGTTGTCGCTTTAGACTGTACAAGCCAGATGTGCTTCCGGGACATTAAATTCAGTCGAATATTCATGTTTTCAAAGGAAATATTTACATTTTTTTTTGACAGATGATAATACACTGGTTGATTTTAGCGTCTGGAGGAGATAAGCACTTTAGTGGCATCCTTTTATCTTAAATGTTTAAAGGGGAATCAGATTTACTTTAGGGAAAAATTTAAGAAATCAATTAACGAGACTTTGAAAATTTGACCCTCGGTGTTTTCTTTTGCCATTTCAACCGGCTAGACACGTTTAACTAGAAACGTTTCGCTGAAATTCAATTTAATGAAAAAAAATATGCAAGGCTTATTATTTCTGCTCTCCATTCTCTATGATCTATGCTTGTCTGTTTTCGATTAATTTAAATCAGAGTGGATACTGATTCATGAAAAAGCAGTGGTCCTTCTCTCTGTAATATGTTTTTAACGATTTTGTGTAAATTGAAGTGTAAAATTAGACAAAATAATTATCACTGTGTCGAATATATTTTCTTCAGTTAATAGCTTAAGATCTTGACAGTCGTAAAATAATTAGTAATGGCAAAGCGTAATAAATACCCTACGAGTAAATTCTTTGGAGTCCGTTCATCCCTGCTTAATTTCGAAAATTTTTCTTTCTTTTAATAACATGCTGCCTCAGATCTGGAAGACACGTTTGTTCCTTATCTGTCAGCAAATATAGTAACTTCTCTAAAACATTTTTGGTTACACTCTAATGACGTAGAAGGATAAAACCGTACAAAAATTGAAGCATCAGAAAAATATTATCTTTTTTTTTTCGTTATTTTATTACAGTACACGAGAGGGTCAGTTATGAGAATGATTCGATCCTAACAAGTTTTATTTTAAAACTCATCCTATTGCATATCAAAGAATTTGTTAATACTGATAATTTGAAGATTATAAAAACATGTAAAAACTATTGTTAAACCAATTCAGTATTCCTTTTTCCTCTTTTTTTAAAAAAATAATAACTACAAAAGATCTTTCTATACGAGAAAAGCGAATAACTTAGCATAGCAAGGGAAGTAACAAAGGCTTCAAATTCCATTTTCCTAGTAAATTATTACGTCACGCATCAATAACGCTATATTGCATAAATCTACTTGTAATCTACTTTTAGGATGTAATAAATTAAATAGCGATTCGAAGCTTTTAAACATAGCAAATAAATATCTTCTAAATCTCACAATACAAAAAAAAAACTGATAATCTTTACTCTTTCTCTCTCTATCATTAAATTTATCGTATTTCATAATTGTTTCTTAATTTCTTTGGATAAGGTTAGCAAAAGAGATAAAAGAGTAACTGAATTTAAAAAAAAAGGGCATTTAGTAAACACTACCCAACTAGTCTCCGTACAGCCGTTGTTTAACCTTGTCACACAGACACACGTTGCGTGACGTGATCAAACACTTGAGCTGATGGGAAAGAACAATTACGCGCAATCACGCAACGGAACAAATGAAAGAACTCTTCCTTTTCTAGGTTCACGTTTGTGACAGATAAGATTTACGATCTCGCTATTCATGTTAGAACAGCTGAGGCTGTGATCGGCTAATAATTTGTTAATTTGAAATTATATATTAAATTTGAAATGCTTGCCAAAATCTTTCTATGAAATTTTCGAGTAATTTCGAGTAATAATGAGTACCAACAAACTCTAGCTGCTGTTATTCTACAGATCAACCATCTGAGACGGATCTTGAAAGTTCCCTATAATCTCTTAAAATCCGGCACAACTGATCAAAATGAATTTGAGAAAAAATAGCAAATGCAAAAATGAGAAATACGATGATAATAGCAATACTCTACGACATTAAAAATAGATCTACTCAAAGTATCTTTTGTCCGTCAATTTCACCTCCTGCACGAGTAGACCTTGCACTTATTAGCACGTCTAATATGGCATCATTGTCATGTACAGGATTAACTTATGTGCTGCATCATTCAATACTGGGCTAAAATCAGCAGCTGCCGCTCATACTCGCGGGGCGCTTCTGTCGTTCGTTTTTGTCGCTTTAAGCCTTGCACCTTTTTGGATTTGACTCAGGAGTGCTCCTCGGCCAGAACTGCTCGGAGGTCTTGGTGCAGCTTTTTCTACAGGCACCGATGGACGTTTTAACCGAGGAGGGGGTGGAACTTCACTAGGGACAGGAGGTGGAGGTGGTTTCGGCGGATAAGTGGCCAGGAACTGAACGGGCGGAACCCTTTTTTCGTCCACAGACGTGCGTTTGGCTTTTGATCTGCAAATAGAAGAACAACAGTTACAACGTGATTTGAAAGTGAGATGAAGGAGAATAATTTTTTCTCATCTATCATCAAACACTAAGTGGTGCATGGGACAGGAAAAAGTTTCTCTATTCCTATAGGACACACCGCGAGGCTTGCTCCCGTTTAAAGTTCACAGTCCTGACTTCAGCCTCTGCAGTCCTCTTTCTGGTGGACGACTAAACGGTTAACGCGCTAGACATCAGCTGATACAATCATCACATAAGCACGCTGTACGGTGACAGATAAGGAGTTTCGCCAAAATTGGTAGCAAGTGTTCCAGCCAAATACATCTACTGTGCATATCAATAAGTCTCTTAACTTCAATGGTAACTCGGCGGTGACAATCACGTATGCTCTTTAGACCTAAAAATGCCTCCTTCCTAAGGTCATCAGTAAGACGTTCGCATCTTAAACAGGATTACTATGCATAACTCACTTGGAAGAACTCTTCTCTTTCTTAACTGCTTTGCTGTCGTCTTGTTTTGATTTCCTC